GAAATTATCAGAAGAAAAGGGGAAAGTGTTGTATATGTTAAATCTATATAGTTTGATTGGAAGCTGTGAGACAACACACCTGAACCTATACTTAAAATTTTCATGCTTCTTTGTTGAAATGCTTGTTTTATCCCTTACAGAAACACCTGAAATAGTGTTCATACTTCTTATCCCCAAATTCTCATACTTCTTTATTTAAATGCTTGGTTTTCTCTCTAACAAAAACACCTAAAACAATGTTTACATTTTTTAACCTCAAATCATTCAAAAAATTCAATGTTTAAAAAATTTTTTTTAAGCTTCAAAGATCATATTAAGTCTCTTTCCCACAGGTCAAACCAACTATGTTAATAACTATTATTAAAACCTTAATTAATAAAATAATATTATCTATTTAAGCCACTTTCTTTTTTATAAACAAGTTGTTACTGCCTTTTGCAGATACATAACTAACATGGTATATTCTCTTCCTCTTCTACCTAAGGCAGATAAACTCCCAATTCCTCCCTCTGCTTTCTTTAATACAACACAGGTAATGCCCCACTTAATGGATTCCTTCCAGGACTAAAATACCCTAAACATCCTTGCCTTTTTTCTAGTACGATATTTATAGACCACTGAGGAACTCCCAATCAAGCTATATAGGTTTAACACATACACTACTTTCTCCTTTTCTTCTGATATAATACATATATTGCATATATATATATATATATATATATATATATATATATATATTACAGACACACCCCCCCCATATGAACAGACACCCTCCCTGCTGCAGTTCTGATCCATTGTTATGGTTACTCTATGAGTCTATCTCTAAAATATAAATATAAAAATAAAGACAGCATTTTTGCTGAAGGTCAAATGGACACTGTCCCATCATTTCCTTGGACCTGCCTGGGGTCATAGGTGCCTTTGTCCAGGTAAATCATCTGACTAGAGACTTTTGAGACAAGTAGATGCTGAGATCCATAGAGTCCTTTCATTGACAGATGAACTAACTCTCTTGCCAGAGCCTGAGGGCTATTGAATTTTGGGGAACTTACATGATATTAAAAATAGTTATTTCTATATAGTTAAATCAAATATTGTTTGTGGCCAAACTTAATACCTTCAAAAAGCTCTGTACAAACTTATCTTCAATTTCAATCCACTAAACAATTAAGTTAAGAAATCCCTTGTCTTCCTCTCTAGCTTTTGTGTTATTTTATTTTAATACCCCCTATCCTGTGTAAAATTTTAACTACAAATAGTAAAAGAGACTGTCACTTCAATGACAACTCTCCTTTATAAAAAAGAAAAAAAGTTGTGGGGCAATGAACTATACCAACAGAAGAACTGGTAAGGTAGAACCAGGTTCAGAAACCCTGGTATATGTCATAATTGAGAATGTCAGGAGTTCAAATTATTTCCTGACCAGGTTCCTATCATGGAGCACAAGACCACAACATCCACTAAGAGGATGATAACAACCAGTCAAGTAAGCATAGAACCTATAGTTCTCCATGATAATGAGGTATCCTGAGTGTTTAGACAGTGAGCTTCCTTCCTTTCCTTGGCATCCTGCAAAAGGTATTTAATCCTTGGTTCACCCTGAGTAAGACATATGCATTCATATACTCCATAACAATAAAACAGTTTGGACAAGCAAGGGCTGTCTCCCTCATCAAGGATTGCCATTGCAATAGGGGACAAGTTTTGTCTTAAGGAGTCATGCCTAAATATCCTGGAGAAGGCCTCTCTTCTAGCCCTTCTATTGTTTTATCATGCATTCAGAACCAAATGGGATTCTCCTCTTCCCAGGTTCATCCATCTCCTTCCTTCCTGATGCATTGGGCAAACATGGCCCAAGGACCACCATTCTCAATTCCTGTGGTCCCTAGCAGCATCTTGGTACATAGGAAATTGAAAATTACACCATTTGTCCCAGCCCCCACTGTTTCTTGTCCTGGGAAACATGAGGTCTAAGTTGCATTCTGCCTTTACAGAGGTACATGCTGGCAGTACTCTGGCATCCCAGCTGCAAGGCAGGAACACAGCCAGTCATCTGCCCTCAGCTGTTTTTCCCAACTTGGTGAGAAAGTTTATTTTTCCATCATATTGTTTTGTGGCAGTCTCTGGAGACATGTTTCTTTTAAAGGAGGGAGAAGACACAAGATTGCCCTGTGGGAAGACACTCTGAAAAGAATGTCCACTACTGAAGTGAATCACAAGGAATGGGCTGCATTCAGGGCCACAAGGAGCCTCATACACATCTGGAGTTTACACTTTCATATCTTCAAAGTTCTAAAAGACGGTATAGAGAACACTAAAGAGCTCTGACACCAGGTTTGACCTTAACCACTACCATTGACAGCATAGCTCATGACAGAAGCAGAGCCAGGCCGGATACCACATAGCCGGCAGCCATCATTGCCAACATGTGAAAGAAAAAAGGGCAGAGAGAGGCCCAAAGGCTGAGCAAGAATCTTGGATGATAAGCTGCCCAGGAGCATGAGAGGCACAGGCTACATGAGGAGCCTCTTTATGTTTTAGAAGCCAATGTGAACAGGTGTTCTTGTCCAGTAGTATCCTTAGTTACTGCACTGTGGTTACCTTGCTGACTTTGAAAGGCATCTCCCTGGTATCCTCTTTGTTAAATGGCTTCTCCCAGTATCCTTTGAAGTAGAAGGCATTCGCAAGGACCAGCCTAGTGTTTGAATTCACTGAACCTGGAGACAGCAGCTCTGTGATTTTACCTGAAAGAAGAAATTAACAGAAACAACAACAAAAAAAGTAATTAAAGCCTTGTGGTTGGTTGGATGAGACTGGACTCCATAGGCTCATATATTTGCATGTTCAGTCCTCAGTTAAATTGTTTTGGAAGGTCTTATAGGTATAGACTTTTTGGAGGAGGTATATTGTTGGGGGTGGTCATTAAGATTTAAAAAACCCACAGCAGGTTCACTTTCTCTCTCTCTCACTGTCTGTTTCCTAGTCAAGATGTAAAGCTCTCAGCTACTGCTCCAGCACCATGCCTGTCTGCTTCCTGCCATTATGAACATGAACTAACCCTTTTAGAACTATAAGCAAGCACCCAGTGTGATGCTTTCTTTTATGAGTGTTGCCTTGGTCATGGTATCTCTTCACAGCATTAGAACAGTAACAAAGACAAGACCCAGCCAGGAAGTAGAGTAGGCTGATATGTGCCAAGGAATCATAGGCAAATTGTGCCACCTCTTGCTCTGGTCAAGAGCATAGATAAGACCTTTCACTTGTCTTTAAAGCAACAACACTGACATCAATAACAAGAAAGAAGATCCGTGGGTTTGTGCCAGCATGGTCTACAGAGTGAATTTCAGGATAGCCAGAGCTACACGGAAAATCCTGCAACAAGAAAAAATAGTTCTGATTTGTGATTTAGAGCTAAAGATGCAGATCAATGTTAGAGTACTTTGCTCTATATTAGGCAAAGTACTGCTTAGCATACTCAAGTCCTTTGGTTTAGTCCACAGGTATGTCAAAAGAAGTCCTGATTGAGAGAATAAAAGGTCATTATTGTTTACATTTGATTCACTTGATTCTTTGTGAAGGAACTATCACTATGATCATTAACAATAGACTACAAAGCCAGGTATGGTAGCATACACCTTCACCCCTAGGACTTGAGAGGCAGAGATAGGCTAATCTCTGGGTCTGAGTCCAGCTTATTCTACTTAGTGAGTTTCAGGACTGAGTATACATTGAGGCCCTGTGGTCGGGCAAGTATAGGTGATTGCTACCAAACCTAAAGAATTGAGTAGAATACCTCGGACCCAGTTGTAGAAAGAAAAAACCAAATCTTGTGTGTCGCCTTGACTGCAGGTATGTAGACATGTACAAACTTACAACAAACAAACAAACAATTGTATCATTTTTTAAAAAGTAGGCTGACTGCTTAAGAGGGATGGGGTGTGGCTCAGTGGCAGAGGAGATCCTACTCAGCCTGCTCAGGTCCCTGCAGTCAAATCTCATCACTAAAATCAATCAAAACAGTAACTCTGTGTCACCTTCTGTCTTTTTGGCTACCCAGGTGTTGATGTGCTGTCGGGACTGCTCTGTAGCACCCTGAAAGTCCAGCTCTTCTATCTCTGCTCCGTAGAACTTTCGGCAGGAATCTATAAAAGACTGAGAGAGAGAGAGAGAGAGAGAGTAACAGGATTATATGGTCAACAGCCTCCATCCCAATGCATGGAAATAGAAAACAAAGATATACACATGTAATTTGCAAACAAATATACAGAAGGAGTATAAAATACAGCCTTTTTGGATTTAACCTTAGTTTATGAATGAGATAAGATGCTGGTTGGGATGAGAATAACTAAGACATGACAAACATCTGAATATTTGAGATGGTGGTAACTGAGGCTCAAGGAAATAACTGGGAGCATCCTCAGATTCAGTATCACACTGCTGTCACTGTAACAGGCTATGACACTGGGAGAGTGAAGGTTAACCCCACAAGAGCTATGACACCTCTGTGCTGTGCATGGCCTTCACTTTCGAGCCTAGATTTCCATGATAACAGTGATACAAATTTGCACCACTCAAAATAGTGTCACCTATAGCCACAGACACAAGGGAAGTGACCAAGGAAACTATGAAACTGAGTATATCATGTTAATTTATTTTACTTTATCATGTGGAATATGAATAGCTATGTGTCACATGGTCACCATGTGAGTTCAGTTGCAGGGAATGAGAACTTCACAAAAACACTGCCCATACTGGAGTGTGTTTCAGTGTTTTATCACAGTAGTAAAGAATTTGCCTTCCATGAGCAAGGCCTTAAATGAAAATGACCAGCAGGACAAGGCAAATTAACGAATGAGCCACTTGCTGATATAGTGTAGGAAATGACAGTGCCATTGAGGACCACCCACATTCTGCCATGTTACAACAAAAAAACTCAATACTGTGTAAATGGTCTGAAACTTCCAATATGCTTACAGTGTATATGGAATAGTGTCTCAATATTTCTATAAAACAGCTCATCTCATGGCTACATTTTTATTTCCTCTTTGAGTGAGCTCTTTTTACTTTTCAAATGTGTCTTTATGTGGGTAAAGCAAATGTACATTTCTTGTGGATCTATGCCTATGTGCTGAAGATATGTATGCATGTATGTACAAGTCTATGCAATAGCTAGAAGATAACTCAGCTTAATGTATTTGAGTACTACATGACACTTACTGCTCGGACATGAGATGTCTTTTCCACTAAGAGACTATTAGTAGTTTTGAGAATGTGACCAGCATCGTTCTTGTTCACTTCATTGAGAAGTGACTGGAAGCCCTGGTGGACATCTCCACATTCATCACTGCTGCATTTGTCCAGAGAAATTGTCTGAAATAAAAAACAGATTAAAAAAACACTTCACTAGGCCCAGCTATAGGAAATGAGTCAACACTAAACTTATCCTCAGAATTTTATAGATCCCTGCTGCCTCTCAAAGAACAACTCAACTAAAGATGAAAATCTTGAAGGTTCTCTTTCTTCGGTTGTTTGCTGTACCCTGTCAGGCCTGGTCTGAACAGAGATGGCTCTTCATGTTCACTAATGATGCTTTTGCTTCAAGCATGGATACCAACTGAAACTGCTATCATTCCAGTGCAGGTGGCTTCTGACATCAGGCCATGCACTCTCTTCCCTGAACTTGGGTTAGGCTGTGTCCAGAACTATTTTGTCAACAGAATTGAGGAGAGTGACATCTTTCAAGCCTGGACTTTTAAAGGCCTGACAGCTTCCACATTTGTGGTCTTGTTTCCAGCCACCTTGGTGGAAGGAAATCTAAGCTATATGGAAAATCCTGGAGTAACTGTCACCACATAAAGCTGATTGAAACTGAAGGAAGACCCAGCCAAGAGTAAATACCTTGATGCTAGACCTTAGATACACTTCCTTAGACATTCCAAACCTGCTGAAAAGCTATATAAATGACTTCAGGTGCTCCCATTGGAAACATATGACTTGCCCATCAGTAGGTGTGATATTTTTGGAAATAAAAGAGAGAGAATGAGTGACAGTTGAAATTGAATGTAAGCCTCTAGCCTCTAACTCTCTCCAGTAGGGAAGCAGCTAAGGAAGAAACAAACACATATGTCTTATAAAAATCTTTTGGATTAGTAAGAGCTAATCCAAAAAGAAAATTTATGGCTTAAGGTAGCCATGGGTAAGAAAAACTTGCTTCAAAACTAGAGATGAATGAAGATATCTCTAGGGTTAGAATACAGGAAACTGGACATACCCACTTGGCTGTGAATTAGAATTATTACAGTTCACAGGCTTCAATGTGTCCTTTCTCTGATGTACTGAATGCATTCCCCCTAATTGGCATATTGACATCTGACACCCAGTTCCTCAGTATATGACTGCATTTGGAACTAAGGTTTATAAGGTACAATAAAGTTAAAAGGAAGTCATTAGTGTAAGCTAAACCCATTTTGTATTCCTATAAAAAAAGTTGATCATGACCTAGACATCCATGGGAGACAAAGATACCATACAAGTCATAAAAAGCCAGATTTCCCCTACTGGATTTATAATACTCAGCCTCCAGAGCTACCAGAAAGCACTCTGTTATTTAAGCCTCCCAACCTGTTTTATATGTTACATAACCCTAGCTGACTAATACTTCATGGAATGTGCATTGTACTTATCCCCATCTTATTATGGGGCTGCCTGTCTCTGAAGTTGATATGATTCTGCAGATAAATCACTGAACTCAACAAGATCTCTGAAGGTTCTATCCCTAGTTTTCCAGACTAGGGTGATACTATTTGGAGACAAACATCAAGTTACTATGAGGAGAGCCTATTTGTAGGAGGTTGAGATCTAGTAGAACAGACAGCAGAGGGGCTTCAGGCCTTGGGGCCATGCCTTTGGTATTTCTGCCCCCAATTAACCCTCTCATACACAGTCACCACCAGTGGATTAGAATGTTACCTCTAGGGTTCCAACAGGGGTCCAGTCCATCAAGTCTGTCACACCCCTATGTCATCTGTAACAGCAATTTGGAGTATGGAGGGCCAGCTCAACTGACAGCCTACATTATTTATCTGCTGTGAAATGGTGCTCATTACCTGACTTATCTGCCTTGCAGTGGTTCCTTTTGCTCCCAATAAGGTCATGGCGAGGATAGAAGTGATGCTCAGGGGAGCTAAAAGTACATTTTTTGAGGTGTCGTCATCCAGTGTTCTCAAAAGTTTGAAGGCAAAATTAGCATTTAATTTCATCAGAGGATCCATGATGGTGAAACTGGAATGAAGGATTACAATAAACATCACATAAACACAGGCAGATGTATTGGCCTAATCTTCACTCCCACCAATACTGTGAGAACCCAGTAAACAAGGGACAAACACACAGCATGGAAAGTACAGGTCACATACATAGTGGTATAAGCCTGGTCTACATAGCAAGTTCCAGGGCAGCCAAAGCTACATAATGAGACCCTGTCTTAACTTAAAACAACCAACCAACCACACACATGTGTATGTACACACACACAAAGGACTTTACATGCGTGCTCAATTTTTCTAGTCCAATGGTATAATACCTAACATCTTGTTTCTTTTAGGAGGGGATTTGTGAAGTAAAACATCTGAATGCTTGGAGAACAGAACTCATATCCTCATAGACGAGCCTCAGATATCCTAACATCTAGTTGCTCTCTGTTCACAGCTCATTCATGTTGCTGAATTGAGGATTTCAATTGCCAATCCTTTTGAAAGGACATAGGAGGACCTAGCAATTCAAGAGTATGTGTTTTTTTTTTTACGCTGGCAACAATTTTGAAAGTACTGCTGGTTTATCACAGACTGACTCTGCTCGCTTCTCCTCCTCCCCCCCTCCCCTC